GATAAAAGTGGCATGTCAGCTGGGTCTGGGGTGCATACACTTGGGAGACAGAGGCAGGAAGATTAGGAGATGGGAGGCCAGCCTCAGCTATATGAGAGTTCCTTATAAGCAAGCAAACAAACAAAAAACATGGCATGTATTATGTGTAAGTCAGGTCATGGTTTAACCATGTGTTTCTTTTCTCTCTGCTGCAAGAGAGAAAAATATCCCAGCCGTTTCCCAGATGGGGGCTGCCCTGTCAGTCTGGAGCCCAGACCCCAGTGAGCGTGGAAAATGAAGTGTGGCGTCAGAGTGGGCTGTCACATTGAGAAATTAACTGCTAATGAAGGTCACTGAGATGTGGGAGTGGCCTGTTTCACCGGATCTAAGATGACCGAAAAGAGGTAGAGTTTGACTTAATCCCAGACCTGAAGGTATCCCCAGTGTTCCCATTGTTTGTTTTTTTTTTTTTTGTCAGCCTTAGTATAAACAGTATTGGGCTCACATCCTTATGTATTGGTACTCCTGTATCTGTGAAATATTTTTTGTAAAGTGATATCTGAGGTCAATGTGTATGTGCACCTCTTTGACAAAAGCCAAATTTGACTTATAGAAAGTTTACAAATATAACTCAGAGGTTGTTTGGTATTAAAAGTGAATGCAGCATCAAGACATTCCACAGCGTAGATGGACCGTGAAGAGGATGCAGAGGAAAAACAAGCCAGTTACAAAAGCCTACCAGGTTGTACGCTTCCATTGCCATACAATGCCCAGATTAGGCCAATGTATAAAATCAGAAGGTAGACGGTAGCTGCAGGGATCTGAGGAAGGTGGGGAGTGAGGAGTGACTGCTTAATGGGTCCTGGTTTCCTCTTGAGAAGATAAAAATGTTCTGCAGTTAGATAGTGGAGATGGTTGCACAGCTCTGAGAATATCATAAAATCACTGAATTGTACACTTTAAGAGGATGGGTTTTATGGTATATGAATTATATCCCAGTGGAGCTGAATGCTAAGAGAAAACAGTACATTGAGTTCTGTGCACCCCTTGCCTGAGTTCCCCTAATGTTCTCAACTGGGAAACAACCGGACAAATTGTACCATAGTTGTCCTGTGGAATATTAAAAATGCAGAACAGCAGGCATGGTGGGGTTTGTTTCCTAAGAAGAGATGTTTAAGCCAGATGTGGCAGTGCACGCCTCTGATCCCAAAGCTTGAGGGGGTGAGGCAGGAAAACCAGGAATTGAAGGCTACTGAGACCCTGTCTAAACAAACAAGATGAAACACCCATTTGTGGAGCTGAAGAGACGGCTCAGTGGGTAAGAGCTCACACTGCTCTTGAAGAGGACCACAGTGGTTCCCAACACCCACCTTGGGCATCCTACAACTGCCCATAACTACAGCTCCAGGGGATGATGCTTCTGACATCCCACCTCTGCTGGCACCTGAACTTCTATTCATCCTCTGCCCTTAGGCGCATATATATATATATATATATATTATATGTGTGTATATATATATATAATGAAAATAAATTCTTTAGAAAAATAATCTGTTTAAAAGAAATGAAAATGCCTCATATGTGGGTGTATGTTTTCTTGTGTTTGAAATAGCACACAGAAAGTAGAACTAGCACATGAACACGATGTTTGGGGGCTAGCAACAAGTTCAGTACACTCCTCTTTCTCCTAAGGTTCTCCTTGTTTCCCAGCTTTTCAGAGTTGTGGATTGTAGGCTGGATTGCTCTATGTCTAATATCCACTTATGAGTGAGTACATACCATGTTTTTCTTTCTGTGACTGGATTACCTTACTTCTAATTCTATCCATTTGCCTGCAAATTTCAAGATGTCATTTTTTCCCTCTGAGTAGTACTTATTGTGTAAATGTACCACATTTTCTTTATCCATTCTTTGGTTGAGGGGCATCTAGGTTGCTTCGAGGTTCTGGCTATTACAAATAATGCTGCTATGAACATAGTCGAACAGATGTCCTTGTGGTATGAGTGTGCATCCTTAGGGTATATACCTAAGAGTGGAATTGCTGAATCTTGAATAGGAGGGGAGATGGTGTGTGGGGGAACATGAAGGATCAGGAGGGTCAAGTTGGGGGAAGAACAGAGAAGGAGAGCAAGGAAAGAGATATCTTAATAGAGGGAGCTGTTATGGGCTTGGCAAGAAAGCTGGCACTAGGGAAATCTCCAGAAATTCACAAGGATGACCCCAACTAAGAATCTAAGCAATAGTGGAGAGGCTGTCTTAAATGCCCTTCCCATCTAATGAGATTGATGACTACCTTAAATGCCATCCTAGTGTCTTCATCCAGTAGCTGAAGGAAGCAGAAGCAGACACCCACAGCTAAACACTGAGCTGAACTCCTGGGATCCAGTTTACAGAGGGAGGAGTAATGAGCAAATGGGTCAAGACCATGCTGGGGAAACCCACAGAAACAGCTGACCTGAGCAAGTGGGAGCTCACAGACCCGAGTCTGGCAGCTGGGGAACCAGCATAAGACCAAACCAGGGTGTCAGTTGGGGGTGCTTGGACACAGTCTATGGGGCCTCTGGCAGTGGAACCAGTATTTACCCCTAGTGCATGAATGGGCTTTGGGAGCCTATTCCCTATGGAGGGATACTCTCTCAGCCTAGATACATGGGGGAGGGCCTAGGTCCTGCCCCAAATGATGTGACAGACTTTGATGATCTCCCATGGGAGGCCTCACCCTCCCTGAGGAGTGGATGGGGATGAAATGGAGGACTGGAGGGAGAGGGAACTGGGATTGGTATGTAAAATAAGATTGTTTTTAATTTAAATAAAAATTAATTTAAAAAAAAAGATGTTCAGTACATAAAGGTGCTTGCTTGGCTTGAGTTCAATCCCTGGTTCCCACATGGTAGAGAGAGAACCAACCTCAGCTGATTGTCTTTTGGCCTCCATGCATACATTGTGGCTTGCACTTGTACTTTCATTAGTGCACACACATATGCAATAAAAATGCTTTTAAAGGGGCTTGGAGAGGTAGCTCAGTGGTTAAGAGCACTGGCTGTTCTTCCCAGGAATTCATGTCCCAGCAACCACATGGCGGCTCACAACCAACTATAATAGGATCTGATGCCCTGTTCTGGCATGCAGGCAGAGTGCTTAAACATTAAAAAATTATTATTATTATTATTATTATTATTATTATTATTATTATGCTTTTTCAAGACAGGGTTTCTCTGGGTAGCTTTGGAGCCTATCCTGGCACTCACTCTGGAGACCAGGCTGGCCTCGAACTCAGAGATCCAAAAAATTAATTTTTTAAACCTCAAAAAATGCTTAAAAAACAAAACACCCAAAACTTAAATACTTGTTATTGGAAGTGTTAAGAGTGGAAAAAGAGAGACTGTACATTTGTTTGTGTTTTGTTTGAGACAGAGTCTCATGAGCCCAGGCTAGCCTTGAACTTACTACTATATAACCAAGATTGACCTTGAACTCATAATCTTCCAGTCTCTAACTCAAAAGTGCTAGGATTGCAGGCATGTTGCACCATGTTTGGTTTGCAGTTTGTTTTTATAACCCCCATCTTTAGTTTAACTTAGTAGGTAACAGCATGCAATTTTTCTAATTTCTCATAGCTTAAAAAAAAAGATTAAAGGAAAAATAAGACAAGAGCTACTGCCCATGCTAAATAACTTACCTCTGGTTTATAGGCAACCAGCTGGGTTTTTTAAATTTTATTTAAGATTTATTGATTGTGTATTCAGTGTTCTGCCTGCATGTATGCCTGTAGGCTATAAGAGGGTGCCAGATCTCATTCCAGGGGGTTGTGAGCCACCATGTGGTAGCTGGGAATTGAACTCATGACCTCTGAAAGAACACCCAGTGCTTTAAACTGCTGAGCCATCTCTCCAGTCCCTGATAAATCTTTTTTGTTGTTGTTTTTTGTTTTCCAAGGCACATTCTCTGTATAGCTTTGGAGCACTCTGTAGACCAGGCTAGCCTCCTGAGTGCTGGGATTAAAGGTGGGCACCACCACTGCCCAGCGCCAGCTGGGTATTAAGAGCAACGTGCACAGGGGTTCTGTGCATCTGCTTTAAGGACAGGCAGGGCATGAAGTTCAGAAGGATAGTGGTTGTGGTGGTGGTGGAGGGGGTGAAGTAGAAGTCATGGACCTTGGCTCTCTGTCTTCAAGATTTTAGGATATAGAATACTTACTAAACAGCTCTGTGACTCAGTTTCCTTAACCTTCAGATAGTCTCTTTCATTGGATTGTTGTGAGGGCCAAATGAGATCATGTTTGTGGGGCCCTTAACATAGTGCTCCTTAACACAGTGGTCCCTAAATTATGGCCATCATCATCATCATTGTCATCACCATCACCTATCATAGATATTTCCCAGTTTGTGAAGTAAGACTGACTGTAAGACCTATAAAGAGGCGGTGATCTCAATTTTGACTACTGCTTTCTGAGACACATAGTTTGGGGTACTCCTATGCCAAAATCATATTCCTGCTGTTAATAGTCAGCTAAAATAGAAGACTATTTCCCTACCTCTCTTGCAGCTAGGTGCAGTGAAAGTCTTAGGCTAGACTTCCCCCTGGAAAGCTGCCCTTCTTGACTTCCTTTCTCCTGACTTGCCTATTATCTGGGTCCCGTGATTCATAGCAGAGCCCTGTGAAGATTCTGGATCCTAAGCAACCTTGAAGAAGGATGCTAGACCCTCATGATGGTGAAGCAATGCACAGAAGCCCTCATCTTGGTACCCCTGAAGTCACCATGGTCGCCCCAGATAGCCTCCTTTGGACTTATACACACAAGAGAAAAATAGCCTGCCTGGCTTAAGGGTCTTTTTTGAGTTTTCTGTAAAATGAAGATGAGCCCTAACTAATATACTTCTCATAGAACAGTTGACCTGGGGGTGGAGGGAGGCAAGGCCTGTGACTAGGAGTTAAGACAGAATGATCAAGGAAGCACTTGTGCCTTTCCCAGGGTGATATAAGGACTGTAAGGGTAGCCTAAGGCTGGGCTTGGAACTTACTCATCACCAATGTGAAGCCTGGGCCAGACCTCGTTGACGTGAGTGTACTGGGGACTGCCCTTCCAGAAGAGGCGCTCCAGCTCGAAGGCTCCAGGGGTGCAGTAGTCCTCAGCCTCTCCCTCCTCCTCCTCCTGAAGGGACAGCCTCTTGGCAGAGGGATAGGCATTTGTGAGGCTTGTCTTTGTATCTCCTGATGCCATTTTGGAGCCAAGGGATTTTCTTTCCTTTCTGCATGAAAGAAGGTCAGAATGGGGTTAGCATGGAACAATGGTCATTATAGGAGGAGGTGATGGTGGGGTTAGCATGGAACAGTGGTCATAGAAGGTGAGGGTGGGTTAGCAGGGAATGGTAGACATTATAGGGGTGAGGGTGGGGCTGGCAGAGAATGGTGGGCATTATAGGAGGTGAGGGTGGGGTTAGGGAATGGTGGGCATTATAAAAGAACGTGATAAGGAGCAGAGCTTAATTTGGTGGGTGTGTCCCTCGCCTGCTGTACCCCCTCTTGCTCACCCCAGGCCACACAGGTAAATGAGAAAGGCCATGATGACAGTTAAACGACACTCCCCAACATTCCAGTGTTCACACAGCAAAAGGGCTGGGGGGCTGAGGTGGATTTACAGCAGACACAAGAATAGCTTTGAGCCTAAGAAACTCCCCTAGGCAGCCAGCGCCCCCCCCCACCCATTATGGTATGTATGTATGTATGTATGTATGTATGTATGTATGTACTTACGATTTTTTGAGACAGGGTTTCTCTGTGTAGCCCTAGCTGTCCTGGAACTAGCTCTGTAGAGCAGGCTGGCCTTGAACTCAGAGATCTGTCTGCCTCTGCCTCGTGAGCATTGGGATCAAAGGCATGTGCCACCACCTCCCAGCCACCTGCTTCTTTCTTTTTTAAAATTTTTTCATTAATGTATTTTTTACATTCCAATTCCAGTTCCCCCTCCCTCTGCTCCTCCGGTTCCCCTAACAACCTCCCATCTGCTCTAAACTAGACTCCCTTAATATAGTTGACATTGGTATGACTGGGACAATATATGAGGCTACTGGCAGTGGTTCCAAGATCTAACTCTAATGCACAGACTGACTTAGTGGAGTCCATTCTATATGGAGAGATAACCTTGCTTGGCCTAGACACAGAGGTGTGGGGGGGTGAGGAGGTGCCTTGGTCCTGCCTCAACAATGTGATAGGACAGACTTAAGTAGACTTTCTAGGGGAGACCTTACCCTCTCCTGCTTCTTTATCTGACTGGAAAGTGCTGGTTTGGGACATTTTGAACCCGATTAGGGAGGCATTTCTGCAGGAAGTGACTGTCCAGCAGAAAGGGCATCTGGCTGAGTCTAGATCTGTGAGGTTTTGGTTCTGGATAGCCATTCCCAGAAAAGGAAATCTGAAGCCTTGGGGCAAAAGGACAGTTGTCTATGTGATCATCAGTCATCTTAGGATAGTTGAGATCGTATCCCTGGCTCTCATACTGAAGTCTGGCTGTTCCTGTCTATTAGAGGGTCAAAAGAGATGTCCCAGCTAGACAGCTGTGTCTACTGGTTGAAAACTGTTTGGGGACAGTTTGTCAGGCTCTGCTGGTGGGATGTGGAAGAAATGTTTCCATTGACCCCTAGGAATCTTGTCTATTTGACAAGCAAATTGGACCTTCATAGCTGCTCATCCACACAGCTCTAAATCCAAAGATTCAACCAACCAAGGATCAAAATACTCAAATGAGAAAAGGGTGCCTGTTCCGGACCTGCATGGACTACTTCCCTGATGAATATAGTTTAACCACTGTTCACACACTGCATTTGTGTATCAGATATCACAAGTAACTCAGAGATGGTTTTAAATCTCCATATGCAAATACTGGGCCCTGCTCCCTTTTGAAATAGGGTCTCCTGTAGCCCAGCCAGGTCTCAAATTTGCTATGTATGGTGGAGTGATCCTGAATTTCTCATCTTTCCCCTACCTCCACAGTATTGATATTGTAGGCCTGTACCACCATGCCCAGTTTGTAGGGGGCTCTGTGCTTAGTAGGCAAGCTCTCTCCCAAGCCAACTGTGCCATTTTATAGGATGGACTTGAACATCTATGGATTTGGGGACCCTAAGGGCCTGGAACCATTCCTCCATGGGTTCTGAGGGACGCCTGTGCTTACAGGGCACTTGTTTTGTGACAGGTGCTATCGTTCCAATTCTTTAGAATCACTTTAAATGCCCTTCCCCTATACTGAGATTGATGACTACCTTAAATGCCATCATAGAGCCTTCATCCAGTAGCTGATGGAAGCAGAAGCAGACACCCACAGCTAAACACTGAGCTGAACTCCTGGGTTCCAGTTGTACAGAGGGAGGAGTGATGAGCAAAGGGGTCAAGACCATGCTGGGGAAACCCACAGAAACAGCTGACCTGAGCAAGTGGAAGTTCACGGACCCCAGTCTGACAGCTGGGCAACCAGCATAAGACCAAACCAGGCCCCCTGAATGTGGGTGTCAGTTGGGGGTCCTTGGAACAGTATGGGGCCTCTGGCAGTGGAACCAGTATTTACCCCTAGTGCATGAATGGGCTTTGGGAGCCAATTCCCTATGGAGGGATGCTCTCTCAGCCTAGATACATGGGGGAGGGCCTAGGTCCTGCCCCAAATGATGTGACAGACTTTAATGATCCCTCATGGGAGGCCTCACCCTCCCTGAGGAGTGAATGGGGGATCGGTGGGGGGCATGGGAGTACTGGAGGGAGAGGGAACTGGGATTGGTATGTAAAATAAGATTTTTTTAATTTAAATTTTAAAAATATTTAAACAATATGACACAGCCTGGAGGGGCTTTGATAAATCCAGAACAACAACAAAAAAAGCATCACTAACCCAGTCTTAAACTCTCTGAAAGGTGTTATTATGCCCACTTTACATATGAGAGAAATGGTCCATTGAAGATGCTTGGCAAAACAGCTTCAGCAGCTGAAAGGGAGGGTGGTGGAGACCACAGTGCGGTAGAAGAAATCAAAGAATGTTCGAAAGGCTGGGAACTTCAGAGAACATCTGGATGGAAGACTACCCAGAATACAACTTGAAAGGCTCGTGCCGCTTAGGAAAGGACATTTTGGACTTACATACTAAAAATAACTCCAGGGAACTCAAACAGTAAACGCTTAAATGGTAAAGAAATTTAAACCAGGTTCACAGTCTGGAGAGATGACTCAGCAGTTTAGAACCTGTATTGCTCCTTCATAGGACCTGAGTTCAGTTCCCAGCACTCGTACATCAGGTGGCTCACAACCACCTGTGACTTGTGCTCCAAGGGGACCCATTGCCTTCATCTCGACATTGCCAGCACCTGCTCTCATGTATGCATTCTACACACAAATACATAATTCAAAATAAATCTTTAAGCTGGGTATGATAACAGTTTAATCCCAATACTGGGCAGGCAGAGGCTGGCAGATCTCTGAGTTCAAGGCCAACTTGCTCTACAGAGCAAATTCCAGGACAGCCAGGGTTACATAGAGAAACCCTGTCTCAAAAAAAAAAAAAAAAAAAAAAAAAAAAAAAAAGTAAACTATTCACAGGTGAAAGGGCCCACCAGGTAAAATGCTTGATATATAAGCGTGGAGGCCTGAGTGCAATTCCCAGGAGCCACATGATGGAGGAAGGAAATAGATGTCAGAGAGTTGTCCTTGGACTTCAACACATGTGCTGTGGTATGTGCACATATAAAATAAAAATATAATTGTATAATGCAAAAATACAGCATTGGAGGGTAGGATATTGATGGAGGTGTGTGAAGGAGGATTGGCTAGGGATGGTGGCTTGGTTTGGATGATAGTTGCAAGGTAGCTACTTGTGGTTGTTTGAATGTAAGTGGCCCCCATAATCTCAAGGAGTGGTACTATTAAAAGGTATGGCCTTGTTGGAGTAGGTGTAGTCTTGTTAGAGGAAGTGTGTCACCACGGAGGCAGGCTTTGAGGTCTCATATATGCCCAAGATACTGTCCAGTATCTCAGACGACCACTTCCTGTTGTCTGCAAGTCAAGATGTAGGACACTTGCTATTTCTCCAGCACCATGTCTGCCTGCACACCACCATATCTCACCAAGATGATAATGGACTAAACACCTGAAAATGTAAGCAAGCCATGACAATGAAATGTTTTCCTTAGAAGAGTTGCCATGGTCATGGTGTCTCTTCACAGCAATAGAAACACTACTGTTTCTCTTTGTGTTTGGGATTCCCTGTGATTAATTTTTGAAAGCTCTGGGCATGGTGAAGCATACCTATGATCCAAAATATTCTGGGAGGAAGTTTCAGACTAGGAATCTAAGAGTTGAGAATGAGACCCCAGTCTCTTAAGACAAGTAAAAAATTTAAAGGACAATGAAAAGCCCGAAACCATTTCACCAGTGATTCGATTCTTACATGTACAGTCGGTACATGAAAAGATCAGTAGCTAACAGTGTCTGCCCATGGGACGGGGCCAGCCTTTGTGATTTCTTCCTTATAACAGCCTTCTTCCTACAGTAGGGTGTGGTGATATATTGCTTATGATTTATTAAAGCCACTGGAGATCAATATTGCAAAGCAGCCCATACTGGTTAGCCATAGAAGCCAGGTACCTTGAATCCCAGTACTCAGGGGACAAAGGCAGATGGATCTGTCAAAATTCAAGGCCACCCAGGGCTACACAAGATTGAATCAGTCTAAAGGAGTAACAGAGCTCAAGCCTTTAATCCCAGCACTAGAGAGGTATAAAAGATAGGAGCAGGGTCTTCAGTATTCAGTCTCAGGATTCTCCAGCCATGTTAAGGAGAGCATAGAAGTCTGGGATTGAAGTCTTAGGTTTGGTGGAGACAGGATCGCCTTTCAGTCTGAAGTAGAGGTAAGAACTAGTGGTTGACTGCTTTTCTGATCTTCAGCTTGAGGTTTGAACCCTAACATCTGTCTCTGGGTCTTTTATTTATCAAATTACAGTAGGGACCACATGGGACAGAGGGGACCCTGCTTTGGAGCCTGCCAGTGCCATTGTAAAGACGGTCTCCACTAGAGTCATTGGCACCAGCTGAAAATACAGACTCCAGGATTGTATACAGGTGGCAGGGGCCTGAGAGTCCGGATTTGAACAAGATCCCAGGAGCATCTATGCTCGCTGACAGGCTGTAATCACTGACCAACATGTGGCTGAAGTGTCAAGAGGAGAGCTGGAAAGAGGCTCC